ACGAGTCCTCAGGAGCACTCGTACGCATTCAGTGCCGACATGTTCACACGCCGGGGTTGTCCTCTTTGGTGAAGTTGAATAAAAATACAACATTCCAGTGATATGTCCGTCATATCGATGTATGTATTTATTTATTTGTAGTAATCTTTATTAGTAATCTTTATTTATATACCGCCTTTTTCACTGCAGATCTGGCCTACTTTTTAATTCATTTTGAAATGAAATGTGCCAACGCTTTATCAAATACATTGGAAATCTTGCCGTGTATTAGTGACCCCTTCCTATTTATAGGGGGCATTTCTTTATCCACGGGCCACAGAACAACGGCATATATACTGCTGCTGCAGGAGGTTACTGGGTCCGCGCTGAGTCTCTGCGCTGGTCTCTCCTATGGATCTATACGGGTCTGCACTGGTCTCTCCCATGGATCTATACGGGTCTGCACTGGTCTCTCCCATGGATCTATACGGGTCTGCACTGGTCTCTCCCATGGATCTATACTGGTCTGCACTGGTCTCTCCCATGGATCTAGACGGGTCTGCACTGGTCTCTCTCCATACGGGTCCGTGCTGCATGCTCCTGGATCCATACGGGTCCGCGCTGGTCTCTCAAGTCTGGTCTATGCGGTCTATCTTCGGTCCGCGCTGGTCTCTGCGCACCGGTCTCTCCAGTCAGGTCACTCCAGTCTATGCGGTCTCTCCTATAGGTCCGCGCTGGTTTCTGTGTGCTGGTCACTCCAGTCTCTCCTCGGGTCTGCATTGGTCTCAGCGCTGGTCCGCGCTGGATCTCCTCCCAGGGTCCAAAATATTTTGAGATTAATCTCAAAACATTTTGAGATTCATCTTTAAAATAATACATAATATATTTTTAAATTAAGCTCATAACATTTTGAGATTAATCTCATCATATTCTTAGATTAATCTCATAATTTTGCTAGTTCGACTTTATTATCATGATATTTCGACTTTTAAGTCAACATTTTATAACTTTATTCTCAGTCTGGTAAAAGAAGAAAAAAGGGTGACTCTTTTGCTCCGTGGCCTGTTGCTTTAGGCCTGTTGCTGTTTCCTCTGCCGTCTGCACACGGCCCTGCAGTCCCTTATATGGGCATTAGTGGGCGGTTACTTATGCTAAGTACCTATGCTAATGAAGCACCTGGCACGCGCGCTGTACTTACGAGGAAATGGGATTCATCAATCTGAGAGAACAGCTGCGAACAATTCAGCGGCTTACGAGTGCGTTGATGAATCCCACGTGGGGACTTCTTAGAAATCTACTTAAGGACAACTTGAGAAGAAAGTTGAGTAGTTTCTTACGAAGTTATTCGTGAATGAGGCCCAATGGTTCTAATACTGGTGCATGCACGTGCCTCTGTCATATCAGATTTTTAGGCAGAAAAATGAGTATGAGATGAGGACTTCATCCAGTCAGCTCTCAGCCCAAAGCATCAAATAGGGACTCACAGGGTTCTTTCTCACAAGTTTGCAAAAGATTAAAAGCTTTCTAATAAGATGAAGACCACATGTTGTGGTCTAATTTGTTTACAGACTCTTTCTATTTGGACAAACAAAATATATTAGTCGTGGGATACCCCATGTTTAAGAGCATACTGTGGAAAAATAACAACCTGGACTCCATGGATTTAGTCAAAGCTGATTGTCTTTTAGCATGTACAGTATACATCCCCTTACCTGTATTTCTTATCACATTTCATTTTTTGTATTGTGAAGAACATTGTGACTCAGTGTCTGTGAAAAGCGCTATATAAATAAAGTTTACTGACCAAATTACCAACTTACTCAAGCTAAAAGCAGCCCCTCCAACAGGAAGGTTTCATAATACACCTTTGAGGGATGAAATAATTCAACTTATTTCCAAAACCTATTCGATTACGAGTATTTTGTAATGAATACAGATGCAGAGTCCCAATTCAAATACCATACTGTTACAGATCTTGTTCAACTGGTAAGACTGATCAGTTGGATCATAACCTATCTGTAATATCTCATTTCAAACATTGTGGATTGTGAAACATCTAGGGCTGTTACTTCTGATTTAAGCGATTATAATTTGCAGTGTGTGATTGTATAAAGTTGTGAGTTTTATGTACTGCATGATCCACTGTGAGATAGCCTATGTGGTCCCAATACATGGAGGCGATACCGAGCAGCTACCTTTTGAGTATTTCCCCAACATTCTGATGACCTCCTAATAAGCCTGCCTTCACTGACTTTCTATTTTTCCTGTAGAATAAAGTGGATGACTAAATGAATAGTATTGGATAGAATATCTGTATTGTCTTTTATGCATACAGATTATAATAAAATACATCTAATAAATAGATTAGACTTGCTATGTCCAGGCTGTCTGCATGTTTTGGATTGTTGTGTCACTTTGTTTTCATCACATTTTCCATTGGGTCTAACTAAACGGTGTGAACATTAGCTCTCAGAAACAACACAGAGTTGGTTTGATCAGTAACAGCCTGAGCTGTACAGACTGTTGCTGTTAAGTCTTTTTCCACGGTTCCTCCGCAGGGCTGCTGTTCTGGTTGACTGGAGGTGAATACAGCCAGAGCCCATACCGGACTGAGGAGGGCGCATTGTGTATCCAAGATTTCTTATTTAGTATATTGTGAGCAAGCTTTTACACATAAATAGTAATATAAACTAGTAACATTAATGAGCAACATTCTTTTGTAGTCATGGTTAATAAAACAGTTCAAGATCAATGACCTTTCAAACACGTGTGAGTCATTGTTTTGATCATTTAGAAAAATATTATGTGACTTATTTTGTCATTAGCTTTACTGTATCCAGTGAAGTTCTTTGTTTGACTTCAGGGATCAACCTCTGTTGATAATGTAACTCCACTCCACTGAGGACAGTGGGAGATATGGAATATTTTGTTTGAAATTTTCC